GGGAAGAAAATTCTTTTGAGCTTGCATTTTCAGAATAGCAGGAGGGATTTTCTTTTATGTGAATTTGCTGTTTTCCACAGTCAAATTGGTTTCTCAGAACATGTAAAAGATTAATTTTGAGAAAGGAAGCATCACTCTTGTATGAATCAGGAAACTGCCTGAAGATATCTAAAATAGGAAGTAGCTAAAAGAGAAAGAAGTTGGCCAGCAAAACTGTACTCTAAATTTTAACAAATAATACAAGTAATTAGACTGGCTTGTTTTTATTGTGTATCATAAAAGTTATCATGTAGGCTGAAAAAAAACACCCCTTCCTGCTTTCAAAGACTCCTTATGAAAACTCTGAAGCTCAGTTAAACCTACCATATTTCTGTCTTTTCTCCCCTCACTTTTTTGGTGACATATGTTGAAGCATGTGAACAAAGTTAAAATTTTAACTTGTGTTACTTGAAGCTTCATCTCTTTCTGCAGTTTTTTGCCCTCACTTGCAATCGATTAGTTGTTTAGGAAAAACTATGAACAGAAGATCCTGTGTTAAGGAAGAAAGGAATAAAATAGCATAGATTAAATTCTGAATAACAATGAGTCCTACTCTCAGACAAATTTCTGACAATAAAAAAAAAAAAGCAAGCAAACCAAGGGGGGAATAGCAACAAAGCTGAAATGTTAAACTATTGCTGTTGGTTTATGAACCTCTGCACAAAATGTTTCCAGCACAGGAAACACTGTTAGCTGAAGTATGTATTATTTGTAATATGATGTCCTTCTGGGCACGTAGCTTATATTAGAATGGTTGGTTTTCTCTTAGAACTACATTTTAAAATGGAATTTAAATTATTACCTCATGTAATTCTGTCATGTGTGTAGCTTTTCTTAGGTTACTCAATGTAGTTGGTTTAGATACATTTACAGACCTTACATTAAAATTTATTAGTTACTGGCATATGATATTTGTCCCATCCTAACAAAATGTTGTAAACTCTGTAGACTTTACATGGAAATCTGATTACCACCTTGATCTCATGAACCAGCATTAGTCACCATCTTCCTTTATCAGATTGACTGAACTCTCCCTAAATGATGATTTGTCAAAGCTCTTCAAAGCAGTTATCAAAAATACAGTGCAGTTGGATTGTTAAGTAAACAGCCAAAGATTTCTTTGTGCTAATGAAAAGCAATACCCAATAAAATGTAATATTGGAAAATTCTTGCTATACAAGTCAGTTAAGAAGCCTTAAATAAAAGTGATAAACATGCTCCTGTTTACTCAGGATCTGTGTCTTTAAATAAAGATCCTCACTTGCCAGCATAACCCCCACATTTGAATGCTATCCACGTATTTTGCAATTTGAATCATTACAAGTTTTTACCTTACTTTGAAAAAGGTCTAAGGACTGGTGCCCGCCCCTCCCCTGCTACCATTTGTTCTGCCCTTTTTGTAGCTCTGGGATATGGTTCTCACAGTTGCCAGCAACTATGTCACTGTTTCCACTTTTGTATTCATCATTTGACCTGCCTTTCTTCCACATGCTTTTTCTCTCCATCCTCTTTGCTCCTTAATACTATAAAGACACCATGCTACACACTAGTGGAGGAATAACATGAGAAAAAGAAAAAAAGGGGGTAAAATCAATCACAAGAGAGCTGGTAAGAACCCAAAAAGTCATACCTCATGTACAGATCTTAGTTCTATCAGTGATCCAGTACAGTTCACTGACAGTCATGTAAACTGGTCATTAAGTCATGCCACAAAATGCAACTTCTGATATAAACTATTTTCCACCCCACCCACTAAAAAAGAAGCAATGTGATGACATCCTAAGATAGTATCTACTTGACAGCTCTCTTCTATCCCCCACTCTGCCAGGCTGCTAATCTAAGAACATAACACATAAAGCAAACCATGCCAGAAACATAAGAAAGACAAGAAGATGTATTTGAAAAGTAAAACTTTCTAAAATGTTAGATGGAAAAGGCATTTGGTCCTGGTTGTCTTCATGAGGAAGAATTTGAGTAAGCCATTGATAAATGTAACAAAAGGTATTTCATATGAAGGAAAAAAGTACAGAATTCCAAGCTGTCCTTAGACTAAATTAAAAAAGAAACAGTCTGCCTGTTAACAAAACCAATTCATGCCTTACAAAACCCCCATTTTTGTTGAATGGGTTTACATACATACACAGTGGTGTTTCCTTTGCACTTTTAATACCACACTGTTTAAAGTACATTGAATAAACATCTCCCCTTGGACATAAACCAAACCACATCTAATGTACTAAGTTAATTTATGACTTCAAATATGAGTAGCTACAACTGACAAAATTCTGTGGAAATGTGATGTTAAGTCTGATAGCTATCTTGTAAGAAGGTTTTTTAATCCCAAGCTCTGAAAAAATATGCTTTCACTGCAGAAATGCAATGCTTCATGTAAATGATTCCTGATACTAAAATGCATTTTCCACTAAAGTACTTAATGCTTGCTTTCTTAAAATAAATTAAGATATATATAATTTATTTATGTAAAAAAGTTATTTCACTAATTACTCTGATCAGCTTAATGCTAACCACAAAAGAATTAAAATAAGAGAGTAGAAAGCTATAGGAGCTGAGCCAAAGACACATTAGAAACCACACCTGATAACCAGAATCTGCCTCTGATCCCTGAGACAGGTTTTCAAGTGCAGCACAGACACACCTGCTCAGTGCTGACTGCAGCAAATGTCAGCGGCTACTCCTTTTTTTGATACTGTCACCATCAGCAAAACCTATTCCTTGTTGCTGATATCTGCCTCCATCAGTCTCAGTGATGAAGCTTGCGAGAATGTGCAAGAACAAGCAGGGTGATGTTACACAGGTTTTGTACTTTCCTCTGAAGATGACAGTTGTGATGGGAACGCCTTAGCCTGTGGAACTGCACAGTGCTTCATCCTGAGCTGTGAGATACAGCCAGAGGGCTGGTGACACCCCAGCTTCACATGGTCTGGCAGTGGCACAGAGGCACCTAGTGATAGTTCCAATTCCCAGATGACTTAAGGATGCCAAGGGAACACAACTGTCTCACTTTCAGGTTAGAAAAGAGAGGGGGTGTGCTGATGTATTTAGGAACACACAGACATCTAAAAGAAGCTACAATCTTGACACTGCTGCATAGGCTGTGGTTCACAGACTCCAAGTGCTGGAGAAAAGATGATCAGTAATGTTATCGTGCAATGTGGTTGTTACAATGGATACTTGGCCAAGTTCCTATCCTTAAAAGAGTTCAGAAGCATTACTCCAAATTTATCAATTCTTTCCTAAACTGCCACTGTAGGTAGTGTTTAAAGGTAACTTTTTCTATCTACGTTTAAGGCCTTTTCTTATTAGCAAAATACAGCAATTCTGCAGGGACATTTGTTTACATAAACTTGTTTTTTGTTTGGGGAGATTTAATTCTACCCTTAATCCTACATGTCTGAACTAAATGCTGTGTGAAGAGCACATGTTCAACACTGCCTGATTCAATTCAAAGTAGTGGCTAAAATGAATAGCTACGACAACTTTGCATGTAAGTACCTGAAAAGCATAAAAGATTACTATCCAAATAAGCTGGAGGTTTCTTTAATTCAAAGGCCTCTCAGTATACTCTAGTCACGTCTGTCCACTGCTCCTGCAGTGGGTAAGAGCATTTTTACTTATTTATTGATTAGTGCTGCAGGAGGCAACAGAGAGGAAGTTTGCCTTTTTTTGTTTACCAGCAGTGACACTGGACAAGTCATCAATTCATTTACTAAAGTGACAGTAATTTCTGTTTCGTGTATTTTCAGACATTAATGAAGAAAAAACAATCAGACCTACGCTGGAGGTGATGTTAGTTCTACAAGACCTGGAGTATATGAATTTCCTGCCATTTCTCCTCAGCTACGGACCAGGTGATGGTTTCTGAAACAATGGTTGGATGCTGCCACCTTGTGAGTCAGACCCTTGCTAGGAACCAGCTGAACCAGGACTGCCCGAAACTTTTTTCTGCCGCCTGCCCTCTCTCACTAAGTGGCAGATTCCTTGTCCCAGACTCCAATCTGGCTATTTATCACGTACGAGTCTACATACAGCTGCAAGGTGGGTCACCACCCCACTTCTTTAAAGGCCAACAGCCAGTAAATCTGAACGAGAAAGACCTTGATCCCTGTTCCATTGCTCTGACCAATGCCTACTTTGAGGTCTTTCACCTTAGGCTGCCACAGTGCATACAAGCATTAATAACTCAGCACTGCCCTTGTTTAATCAACATCTGGCATGTGCACAAGGAAAGGAGACGCTGATGACGGCTGTAAAGCATCAGCAGTGCTCTGACAGGTCATCCACTGCAGATACCACTGCAGTTAAACCCTGTGTTATAGCTGGTTGTGCTGGTCTGGTTCACTGACCTGTGTAACACGGCCTGCTCCATTTCGCTTGAGGAAGTTCCCTCAGACCCGAGTCCCTGCTGTCTGCTTTCAACCCCGAACAGATCTTAGCCACAGGAATAAAAACTACATCATGTGTTGTCTGTAATACGTCATGGAAGGGAGAGGCTTTTAACTTTCAGGCTGCATCTGAGGAAGGAGTGGTGTTACAGTGGGTTATGTAGTTCCAGAGGGGAAACAAACAAAGCTCTGAATATTGGTAAAGGTTCTATGCAGTTGCCGTCTTCGTCTTATTTCCCATAACGCCCTCCCTGAACCCCTTTTGCAGCAGCATCTCGGACGGAACCCAGTCAAGCAAAATGTGGGGTTTTTTTCCCTTCCAAACGTCTGATTTTAACGCAAATGAGCTTGTCCAACGCTAGACTCTGCCTGCCTCTGAACAGGCCTCCGGCAGCTCTGCAGCGGCTCCAGAAGCCGCAGCCCAAGCCCAGGTCGAGCGGTTCCGCCGGTCGGGAAGCGGCCGCCTCTCCTTAGCGCGACCCTCGCGCTCCCCTCACACCCTCCCGCCCTCCGCCGCCCTCACCGCCCCGGCGACGCCGCCCTCCACTCAGGCGCTGCTCGGGCACCTCGCAGGGGTCCTGGCTCGGCGCAGGGGCCCTGGCTCGGCGCAGGGGCCCTTTGCCGTACAGCATGGCGACGCTGTGGCGGAGGCGGGAGCGTCTCCTAGGAGTGTCAGGACGGCTGTGCCGTACAGTGCGAGCCCTCTCAGGTACGGGGTGCCCGCTGGGCTCAGGGCGGGCAGAGGCCGCGCCTCCGCCTTTCCTCACGGGGAGCCCTCTCCTTCTGACGCTGAAAGCCCACTAGAGGGGTTCCCCAGAGCTCTTCCCACCCGCTGCACGGCGGGAAGCGGCCCGCAGACGCTCTGCTTGAGCCGCCACTGAGGGGACCGGAGGCCAGCTCCCTTCCTGGAGGCGGCACTCTCCTGCCTCAGCGGCCGAGGCGGTGAGGGTGGCCAAGGGCTTTCAGCCGTAATGGCTTTCGGAGCGCGCCCCTCGGTCCCTCCATTGCTGAGGGAGTCCCGGGCCGCAGGTGGCTGTGAAGTGGGCGAGGCCTCCTGCGCCCCTCGGTGAGGTTTTCTGGAGATGTAGTGGGGCAGCCCAAAAGTCAGCCAAACCTTTCCCTCGGGCTTACCTCCAGCATCAGCCTTCCCAGTCCAGTGTCCACTTGAACTGCCAAGAAAAGTCCCCCAGCCCTGTGCTGGCACAGCTGGTACTGTATGCTGCGGGCTTCATCTGTGCCCCCTCACAGCTCTGAAAGCAGGGGTTGTCCTGGTATCCTTGCTAAAAACTGCGTTACCGCCCTCCTGCCGCTTCAGAACATCTCTGGGAGAGTGAGCTGCTCCGGGGGAAGGCTGAGGTGCCAGACGTGCCAGCTTCCCTCTGAGCCACACACCACACCCTTGCGAGTTTTACACTGCAGCTGAGGCTTTGTTAGTCTGATAAAGTGACCCTGATGAAACATCTTTGTGTAGAACTTGCCGTAATACAGACGCAAGACCTGTACTGGATGTCAGTTGCCACTGTCTAATCATGCAGAAGGAGCTTCTTGGGCCATTGTGTAAAAATCTAATCTGTTTTCTCACTTCTTTTGGGTTGCTTTATTTCTATTATTTCATTCATAAATCCAGACTGCAGAGCTTAATGAGTTTTTTTGAGAATGCTTTGGGACACTGAAAAAATACAGTGCTCTAGTAAAGAAAACCTAAATCAGCAATAATCAATTGTAAACAATAGTGTACTTTTTGATATTTACTTTTTACCATCTCCTTTGCCTGTTCCTTTTCCTTCATTTTTCACTTTTTTCACAGGAAAGAATGAGTATGACCTTCTGGTAATTGGTGGAGGGTCTGGAGGCCTTGCTTGTGCAAAAGAAGGTTTGTATGTGTAAATAACAAAGAATTTAGTTTTAGCTTAAGTAGTGGTTACGGAGCCTAAGAGAAGTGTCAGTGGTAATGCTAAGCTTTTTAATAAACACATTATACTTCAGTCCCTGCACATTAATCATTAACTGAGCTCCATAGTTAATCTACAAATGAATTCACACCCTTGGGTGGGTTGATCTTGTTTGGGTTTCCTGTCAACCTTTAAAAAGTATTACTTTTGTCATGGGAAGGTGTGATAAGCTTTTATTTCACTGTTATTGTAAAATACTCTGAGTGCCTCCATAGGTGCTGTATTTTTTAACTATACTGTTTCTTATTTATGGGTTAAAACAACAGTCCCTTCAGACTGTTTCCAGGAGCTGTTTAACTGCTGTAGAGAACCTTGCCCCTTTGCTACTCAGTGTAATGCGCCCAAGAACCCACAAGTGCCTTAACCATCTCATTTGGGGTCAGATTGCATTTTAGGGGTTGGTGAAAGCTGGAGGCTCTAGTCTAGGTTATTAAGTGCCTTCTGGAGAATTTGTTGACTACATAGGCAGCTGGATTCCTAATCTGGCATCTTGAGTTAGACAGCAAAACCCACCAGCTGTCATCTCCTATACTCTATCTTCATACCTGTGCTACTAAAATATCTAGGTTTGTGTGTTTTTTCCCTCCTCTTAAATACCTTACCTTTTTTTTTTTTAAAGCTGCTCAGTTTGGAAGGAAAGTGGCTGTTTTGGATTATGTGGAACCTTCTCCACAAGGTATGGAAGAGAAATGCTAGGAGAATATTTGGAAATGTGTATAAGATGATTGCCTAGGTGAGCACATTGCTCCAGGTAGCATAGTGGCCAAACCCAGCCTGTTCAATTTGCTTTTAGTAAAAGTACTTAAGCGTAGCTTGTTGTTCTGCTCCTTCCTTCTAGTGATGTCCCAGCTCTGCCTGCATCCCCTGCACATAAAGGTTGTTAGCAGTGTTTGACATTACCACTTGTGGTAGGCTTTGGACTTAAACATGTGAGAATATTCTGTCAAAGTGTCATTTATGATTTCTAAAAATTATAAATTTTGTCATGTTGAAGCTGTTCATGTACAATATGTAAAATAAGATCTGCAAATGCAGATAAGCAAATGTGTAGTAACTGGATCTTCAGAGCTCTGAAAAACATCTTGAGACGCTTTGAATTTTAGAAGAAAAATACATAGAAGTGTGTTTTATTAAAACAAATGAGCATAAGCAGAGTTAGAAACTGATCTGTAGGAGACAGTGAAGTGTGTGTTATTTCAGGACTTTTTAACTAATTGCATGAACAACCTAATTCTGTAAGTAACCTAACTACATTAAGTTACACTAACCTGATGCATTTACTTTTCCTTTCTTTTTTTTTTTTTTTTTTATTTCCAAGGAACCAAATGGGGACTTGGTGGAACTTGTGTGAATGTTGGCTGTATTCCTAAAAAGCTTATGCATCAAGCAGCCCTTTTAGGCAGTGCCCTTAAAGATGCCCAACACTATGGCTGGAATATAGCCCAACCTGTTCATCATACCTGGTAAAGATTATTGCCCATATCCACTCCTATGTGCTGCAAATGCGTAACAGGTTTTCCCAGTTGGTGTTTATCTAGGGACCGTTAGGGAAATTAATATTGCATGATGATTTTTAGACTGCTTGTTTAAAACACAGGTCTGTATTTACTGGTTTATCAGGGCAGATACGTTGGTTTGGATTTGATAATTTACTTTTGTAACAAAAAGTACTGTGGAGCATTTTTAGTGTCTAGCAACTGCCTGTATCTTTGAGTAACATAATCTGAATTCGTAACACCATGACTTCATGTTCAGTTTCTTGTTTTGTGATAGGTCTGTGATGGCACAAGCTGTTCAGAATTATGTGAAATCCTTGAACTGGGGACACAGAGTGCAACTACAAGACAAGTAAATAAAACTTTACAGTTCATCTTTCTTCTCACAGTCAAGAAGCTGCTCTTCTCTTTGTAGAATTGCTAAATTGCCTTTGGAGTTTCTTATTAGAGCTAGTATTTTTTTCTGGGAAATAGTAGTTGGAAGTGACCATGAAGCTTTCTAACAGTTTAGTGATCACAGAATGCTCTCTTGAATCTGAAGAGGTTTTGCATTAATGTGAAGTAGTCAGGACTTTTTCAAGGTAATTTCAAGCTTGTCCACGAAAACTTGTATGTCATACAAGCCCACAGATAACACTGTACCAGAATGGCTGGGGTTCTTGCTTTCAGTGCAGAAAGATTTTCAGCAAAAAGAGAAGTTATTAATTTAATAATATATTAATTTGACAGGTACTAGTCTTGTGATTCCTGCTGAGTCACTACTGTGTGCTCTCAAATGTGCATTGTCTTAGTAATGTTATAGATAGCAATGCTATCGATTGTGGAAAATATATCATTTGAAGAGGTCAGTAACCTGATCCCAAAGCATGTTAGGGTTAGGTACTCTGCTGCGTAGAGGAGTTAACTGCTGTACAAGAATTAAGTGACAAATTATGTGACAGAGCTGCAAAGATGAAATATGATGTTTGCTTCCTTTTACTTTTCTTGTCTGTTTGATGTCCTTCTGAGCACTTCAGATATGGAAAAAGTAGCTGATTGTGTTTCCTTTATATTCATTGTTAAGTGTGCATTTATGTTGCTGTTTTCTTCTAAACAGGAAGGTGAAATATTTCAACATGAAAGGAAGTTTTTCTGATCCACATACAATCCGTGGTTTAACGAAAACAGGTAAAGAGGTGAGCTGCTGTGCTGTGAACATGTATCATTCACTTCAAATAGTTCAGGTCTTCATGTGTTGATTTTCAGGCCAATGGGGAGCTAGACTGTACTTGTGCAAGTTGTTTTAGGTATTGAATATTACTTTGGTGAGGGAGATGGATGTTTTCCACCAAGAGAAGATGTTCATGAACTTGACTGTTGCCTACTGAGTCCTTAGCCTCTAACCTGTCAGATGCCATTGCTTTTTCACTGCAGGTGGAAATACTGAGACAAAATATTATTTTTTTTTGGTCAGAGGCATACTGTTTTGGTAGATGCTTACAGAGATGTGAATAGGAGCATCATAATCTAATGGCTCTGAGCATTAGATCAGTCTGAGATGTTTTCTCCCTTCAGCTGAATTATAAGCTTTCTAATACAAAACTGTGTGGGGGAGGCAATTATATCGAATGCCCAGCTTCAACCAACTGGGTCACATAACAGAATGGTGGCTATTTCTGCATATCTAACAAGAGACTGAATATGCATTTTAACACCTTTTTGAGGGAAATTGTATAATGTTACTGGTTAATACTGGCTTGAGAGAGCAGAAGGTTTTTGAGGTAGATGCCTAGCATTTTCTAAAAACATGCCACTTTTGAAGTAACTTAACTCCAGGCCCTAGAGGCAGAATTCACTTGCTGTGATCTCTGTGTGTATTGTCCTAAGCAAAAATGATTTTAAAAAGCTGCCATTTATCCACCACAGCTGTTGCTTCCAAGTAGTCATCAGAATCTTACCCGGTGTAGGAACAATTGTAAGCTGATGTTAAAACAAAAACTGATAAAGAATGTGCAGGGAAGCACCTGTATGTGTTAGTCTATTTTATCTCCATCTTTTTTTAGTGTATTGCTTGATTATTATGTTATATAAATAGGATGCGGTAGTGCCAGCTTTCCGTTTATCACTCTTGTACATACATAAAATATAAAAACAGGTGAAAGTATTTCAAATGTTTGATTTTTAGTTTGTATGTTTGTTCATAGACTGTTGTTACTGCAGAAAATATTGTCATTGCTACTGGAGGAAGACCAAAGTTTCCTACACATGTAAGTTACACTTGCCATGTAACAACTCCAGTGGTTTTACTGGTTTTGTGCAGATGATAATGAATATTTGGAGGATAAAGATTGTAAATATAAAGTAAAACATGAGAGATTTTTGAACTTGTGTGAAAAATTGTCTTCTCTGTAAAGCACAGGCTTTTCAGAAAAACATTTCCACAGAAAACAATTTGCAAGAGTGTGAGTATATTAATCACGCTTAACGATAATTCAGGTTGGAAGGGATCTGTAGAGGTCATCTACTTCAGCCTCCTGCTCAAGGAGATTGGGGTCAGCTATTGAGTGATCTGTGAGGTCAGATCGTGTTGCATAGGACTTTTTGCAGTCAGGTTTTGAAAATTTCCAAAGATGAAGACTGGATGTCTGGACTGTCATCCCCAGATATATTCCCCTTGGTCTACTGGCTATACTTCATCTAATCAGTCCAAGTTGCTGTTATCTTTATTTGCTGCCAGGACATATTGTTGATTCAAAATCTTACCTGTGTGATCACAGATTGCAGGTGCACTGGAGTATGGAATCACAAGTGATGATCTGTTCTGGTTAAAAGAATCTCCTGGAAAAACGTGAGTTAGCTTACCATGGCTTTTATAGATGCTGGTATTTGTACCCTTTCTTCATGGCAAGGTGAAAAATGTTCAAAATTGCCTTTTATACACCAGTTTTTCTGTCCTTTTGTTTTCCTTATGAGAATTTGTTTTGCTATGCATCAACATCATACTACCAAACTTCATTAGTAACTAATAATTGGCCACAGCCCTCACCACGGAAATTCCCTTCTAAAATCAAATTAAATACGAGCTTTCACCAGTTTGTGTTAAGGGAACTTGTTTGCTGTAGCAATTATACCTGGAAGTCACAAGAGGGCAGCATAAACTTAGACGAAGGGTGTACTGTGCCTGTTCTTTGATACGGGTCTGTATGAAATCGCTCTTCAATTAGGAAAGAAACTCCAGCACTCTTAAGTGGTGCCAGTTCTGATAACAAAAGAAAATGCAACGAAACAATTGGGTTACTTTTGCCTTTTCTTATGCCTTGGGAGCTACTTTTTAACTGACATACTAAAAAATTGTCTTTAATGCAAATACTAAAGTGCCATATTCTTTGTTTCTCACAGCACATAGTGCAGTAAGATTCCGAGTTAACTTTGCACTACAGGACAATTTCCTGATCCAAATAATTGTGATAGAAAATACACATTTGCTAGGATGTGAGTCAGATAATACTTTTTTTTCTCTTTTCTCTATTGAGCAATTCTAGAAAAAACAAAGTCTATAAAAGAAAACTGAAACTATAATGCTGGTGTTCTGAATGAAAACAGAGCTACCATTCATGGCTGTGACTTTCTAATATAAAAAATGCACTGTGTTAAGCTAAACATCAAATAGACAAACAAGGCTCCTTGGTACAGTTTGAAAAGGAAAGTAGTTTTGCTGTTGTTTGTAGTATATCAGTCACCTCTTGAATTTTGAGAGTGTGATTTATGTGAGGAATTTAAAAAAAACAAAACCAAAACACAAAACACCCCCCCCCGAAAAACTAAACATAAGATTTATCCCTGTAAGATGTTTCTGTGAAAATGTGGCTTTTGTCCAGTAACTGCTAATGCAAGTTGTAACAGTGTAATGTGGGAGTCGAGTGTTTATATGTTGCATTCCTGAGATTTAGTCAAAATAAGCCTGCAGGGGCTACAGTAGCATTTCTGTGCTTTATCAGGCTGTGTCCTAGCAAATGAAGGAGGGAGTTGTTGAAGGTTTGTTTCTGTCGGATTTGTTTCTATTATAAATATTCCCAAGGTTCAGTTTAACACCTTTTGTTTTTAGTCTGAGATGTGTTGTACTTACTCTTTCTTTTCTTCCTTTCCAAATGTACATATCTCAGCTACAAATTACATGCCTGGGGGTTATAGAACTGTCAGTCCTGCAGTTATTCATATTAAAAAGAAAGCAAACCGTTAACCAACTTAAAAGTCCCTTAGATACACAAATAGTATGAAGAAATTCTCGCTACTGAGATGAAGGCTTTTGGCAGAGTGAATTAGAAAAGATGCCTTGAAATATGTTCAGAATGAATGAGAGATTGAGCAGGTGTGAAGGAGGTTAGGTTCTGCTTTCTTAACTTTTCTGTTAGATACTGACAATGCCCAGGAACCCTCTACTATGTAGAAGAAATTGTGAATAATGTGGGGCTGATATTATGAATAAGTGCCAGCTGGCATCCTGTTTTCATCTAATGAGAAAGAAGAGCAAACATATGCCCACATTACAGATATTCTCATTCTACTTTCTATTAATCTCCAATAGATAGTTCTTTATGGGCACCATGTGGCCTTTTGCAGCACTTCACAGGAGCTACATACTTAGAGGGTGATCATCCATTCGCAGATAGATCAGATGCCCTAATGCTGGTGGAAAAATTTATTTCCTCCTATGTTAAATTGCTTGCCAAATGTAAAACCCAGACTAGCAGATTTTAATCTCTTTAGTTCAACTTGTTCTCTGTACACCTTCAGAAATCGTATGTTTTTATTATAGGATAGATAGATGTTATCTAGCGTCTTTTGTGAGAAAACGTGTTATACTGACTGCAATCCCTGGGGCTTATGAAGCAGCAGCCCCCGTGTCTGCACTGCACTTCTCAGAAGTTTAAAAGCACCTCTGTTATAACTTGGAAATGGTGCAGGTTCGTTTAGGGTAGGATATAGACCACAGGCCAGTGTTTCATGTATTATTTTTGCTCTGCTGTCAGCACAGTATAGACTGTGTATAAAGAGATTTGTAAGTATTTGACTTGTTTCTCTCTTGCACTATTTTGAAGGAATAACTTTCCTAGGGATGTGTGGCTAGTCAGTGGCAGGGCCAAAACAAAAAGCCAAATTTGCTGTCTATAGAGCTCCACCATGCCTCTAACATTTGTTTTTAGTTGCCATACATGTTCACATATACAATATTTTAATCTTCAAAAGTTCTTGATGTTCTTCCATGAAATAGATTTCTGTCTTTGTAAGCATGTATACCAATACTTTCCCTGATAGCAGGACGGGGGGAGGATCATTGCTTTTTAAGTTTGAGTTAAAACTGGTGAATGACACCTCTTTATAAAGGGACTGCAATGAATGAACCACTTTGTGTTAGCCTCCAGTTTGTGTGTGTTTTTCCATGGATTTAAGGGTTTATATTTATTTTGTGAAGCACCACACTAGTGTATGCTACTTCAGCCATGAATCAAGCAAAACACAGAATACAAAACAGTGTGGGATGTGTAGGCCATGGGATGATACTTCACGTTTGTTCCTCTTGTGATTTTGAGTTTGTATTTTGATATTTCAATAAATTTCAAAATTCAGGTAAATTCTAGCTTTCCAAAACACAGTTAAGCAAACTACTTGTTCCATACCCCAAAATCCAAAGTTCTTTTTTTAACTTTTGAATATGGCTTTTAGAGAGACCTGCTTAAAAAAAAAAAAATGCCCAAAATAAGTGGAAAAAAAATGTGCCAAATATTCAGGTGGATACTGCATCTTGTGGTGGTTTTAGTTGCTGTTTTTTGATGAAAAGTTCTTAATAAAGCAGGGGGATGAAAGTTCTTTATAAAACATGCATTTCCATAGATGAAAATCATAGTCAGAAAGAGCCTAATGTTCCACACTGTTCTCATAGTAACTAGAAATTTTGATTCCTAATGATGCTTTTTTCCTAATTCAAAAACTTAACAAAAGACTTTGTTGTAAGTGGAAATATTATGTGGAATGCATCTCCAAACTGTGAGATTTTAGTAAGTCTGCATAACGCATGAACAGCAAAGGAATGTGAGTGCAGCCTGTCTGGCAGCTGAGTGTCTGTTTTCTTAAAAATAATTAAAAATATGTCTTTAATAAATATGATACCTCTAGAAATTTTGAGATACAGTGAAGTCTGACAAGATGGTTGTACATCTCTATGTTTATATGTCGCCCATTGTCTCGGAGGCAGTGGTGCTGAGATGCTGTAAAGATGAGGTATCAGCAGCAATAGGCACTGTGGGAAAAACCTGTCAGTGTCCACTCCAGATGTTTCCAACAGAGGTGTTTCATAGAAAGCAATTGAAATATTTGTGATATCTCTTCACGTTGCTGGTTTTTCTTGAGTTGTTAATGGCTTTTTTCACTTTGTCTTTCAGAGTATGTGTTTAAATATCTTTACAATATAAACCCAATTCTTTATGTCTTACAAGCCTATTCTTTTTTTTATTCTGTTAAAATAAGCCCACATGCTGATAATACCTCTGTCTGTGGAAGTGGACAAGCCCTGTTCTTTCTTTCTAACACCCCCACCAGATCCACCCCTCAAACCTGTAGTTTTGTAACTATACATACTTCAGAAAATTATTTTTGGTGTGCGGGGATATGCACAAACTCATTTCACTGCTTTATTCTTTTTTTCTGTTTATGTAACAGGTTGGTTGTTGGAGCCAGCTGTATCCTTTGAAAAAGCTGTGTTGATTTATGATTATAAGCAGCGTAGCTGTCTTTCCTGTGAAAGCTCAGGTTTCAGAATTCCTTTGCTCACGCCACATAGATGAGTTGGTAATAGAATAGTAATAGTTTTCTGTGCAGTAACATCATGGGAATTAAGGTCAGCTGAGGATAAATTCTCAGGATCTTAAAACCGATGTGATCTATGAGGAAAATATTCTAAGGCTTTGGAGTTTTATTCTATGCAACAAAAGCAAGCTGAAGATATCTGAGAGAGGAGAACTTCCTATGCCTAGGTAAAAAGCCCACTTAGTATACCACCCTTTTATATTGCATTGATATGAAATTACTGTTTCTGTTTCCTTAACTGATGTTTCACTAGATGTTTCACTTGAGTGCGCTGGATTTTTAACGGGCATTGGATTGGACACTACAGTCATGATGCGAAGTATCCCACTTCGTGGATTTGATCAGGTGAGTAAGGAATATCTTACATCTCCTTATAAAGCAAATATATTAAAAAGTGTATTTGATTTTTTTTTCCTGAAGAAAATGTGTCTCCAAACATGTCCTAGTGTGTGCTTTCTGAAGAGAAACTATATAGATATTAGCTCTTTTTTTTTCTGTACTCTCCTGCCTAATTGAAAGCAAGATTGAAAAGGTTGGGAAGCAAGGGAGGGATTTATGCCACTACTAAAAAACATTGGACAATCCCTTTAAAATAATTTTAAATTTCTAAGAGTTACAGGTATTTAAAACATAGTTCAATGTGGAGTTCATTATTATGAATATAAATAAATCACTAAGTGAAAGTTTGTAATGACATAGGAATTGAAAATCTTGACCACTTTTAAAACAGTGGCAGTTATAACAGGTAAAACAAGTATATAGTGATCTCAGTGAAACTATCAACCCTAAGCTGGAGAATATTAAAAGCAGAAACTTTCAGGCAGGGAAATTAAAAAAGAAAAAAGTGTTTCACATTTAGGAAAGATTTTAAGGAATTTTATTTAAAAGTATAAATGGTCATGGTTGTGCTGACAAAACAGAAAACAGTTTTGGCCACAAATCCATTCCTGTATAAAGAGAATAAAAGCAATTACAAATAACAACAAGAAAAGGCAACAGCTTAAAGAAGGAAAAGAAGGTAATATAGCAGGTTTACTGGATCCAGTAAAGGTGTTACTTGGATGCAAGATTTTAGCCCCTGTTCATAGGTTAGAGGATGTCTTTGATGGCCTGCAAGTCCTTCTGGTCCCTCAATCTGTAGGGAGAGTATGTTAAAGGTGACTGTGGATCTTCTGTCCCTGCAAGATTTGATGTTAACACTACTTTGAAAGAAATGTTTCTGTAGGGTTCTTAAAATGAAGAGAGTTCTGAGGTTTCACTTGCATATGGAGTGAACTTTTTCTATGAAGGTTGCAATTTTTATTGCAGACAACTTTGGCAGATGGCAGCCTCAAGAATGAAGACTGCATCCTGTTAATCACTTGGAAATAGTGTTTTCAGAATGGAATTGAATGTATGTTAACTTAATTATTCCTGGTATTATAAATCAGGACTTTTTGTAATACTTAATTGCAATAGTGCAGAACATTTACAGGTTGAAGTTGGTGAAAGTGTGATAGAACCATGGCCTTGTTTTTAAGAACTTCTTTGCACACAGAGTGTGTAGGAAAATCGTTTTCATATGTAGCAGCACAGTTTTTGAGGAGGGTATATTGCTGTTAGAAGCAGCAGTGACAGCTACCTCTGCAGGTAGGTAGTGACAGCTCCTGCTTGCATGCCAGCCACTCCCACTTTGAATTAGCTTCCTTGAAACTAGTAGTAAGTGTACAGGAGCTTGCAAAAGATTGTGTAAGAATGTGTCGGGATTTGCACTCATCATTGAGGAAATCCACACCTCTAACAGCATGAGATCTGAGCAAACAGGGAATGGTGTTAAGAGTGTGTGTGTGGCGCTTCATAAAACACAGTAGGGCTGTCTCTGAGAACTCAATCCTTTGTAGACAGGGAGAGCACAATGAAAATTTCAAGGTTAAGAAAGCATTAATGGAGATAAAACAAGTGTGTTCAGTCTGTAGTCACATTGAGTCTGACAGAAACTGGTTAGCAATCACTGGATAATGAGCTGTTGTGTTTCTGAGGAGATAGAATCCTGCTGTTGTCTTCAAGTCAATAAGTTAACATCGGCTTCAAAAATAAAGTTTTGTAAACTGAGAGCTTGCATGTAGCTGTTATGTGTGAGTGGTTTTGTGATAATATCCTTTAAGTAATAAACACATCCTTTGACAAAGTGCAACCTGAATTACTGCAGTCAAGAGCAATGACATCTTTGGATAAAGCTGTCAGTGTACTACTTCACTACTTGACTGTGGTGTGGCATTATTTCAAACAGGCTCTTAGGACAAAAGTATTATTTCCTTTTTGCAGTAGAACTTTCCAGGAAACCTTAGTGATTCATAGTCACTGCAGAGAAATGACAGGTGTCATGGCAAAGGGAAATATTTTTCTTCCGTAGCTTTATGAAAGTATTGAATTCTCATTGAGCTGCCAGAAAATGGTAATTATGGTAATGTTAAACTGAATATACTCTAGATGCCTTTTTGCATAAGCAACAAATTAATTAAAAGCAACTTTTTTATTCATGTATTTTCCTTTTTTATATCAATTTGAATATTTGGGTGTAGGTGCCTCTTGAAATGGAGTTGCAGGTCATAGTGTAAATTATTGTGTTGGCAATGCATAGTAACTAAGTGACAAAGAATGTTGAAATGCACAGTGTATTTGCTGTATTTTCATGAAGACAGCTGAAGGAATGTTTTACATTATAAAGATTGTGTATCTAAGAATAATTTTCTTTTTTCCCCTATCAACAGCAAATGGCATCTTTAGTAACTGAGCACATGGAATGTTATGGCACAAAATTTTTAAAGAGATGTTTCCCAGCCAAAGTTGAAAAATTGGAGAGCAACAGATTGCAGGTGACCTGGAAAAATACTGACCTGGGCACAGAAGAAACTGATTGCTTTGACACAGTGATGTGGGCAGTAGGTAAACTTGATTATCTTAATTTATTTGCAATGCTTTCCATTCTGAAAATTAAGTCCCCTCATCATTGTATGGGGCCTCCTGTTTTCTGTATGTATTAAGTATTTAGTGACATAAACATTGATAGTCTTTTAATTCTTTTCTTGCATGCCTGACTTGTTCACTTACAGTCTAAAAACACATGAAAGTTACAGTGAATGGAAGAAATCTGTGGTAACTACTTTTGCATGAGCTGCAATAAATGGAAGACCATTTAGCCTTCCCCACATTTACTAGAGGGTGAGAGCTTGGATTCCAGCAGCCTCTGTGGTGCAGATAGTGTTCTCTAAGTCCATACTCTTAATTTTTTTCATGAAGCTATTTGCTGTAATTTCCTGTTTAACCTGTTCAAGAGGCTTCCATTTCTTCTACGATTTTTTCTGAACTGTGCTGCTTGTATTTATTAAGGCAGCCATTATCTAATTCAGAGAAAGAGAAGTAATTGTCCCTAAAAATCTGAGTTCATTGCAGGAAACCTTGGGACTTTAAGACTTTTTAAACCTGGTTAGGAAGTTTCACATATCAGACCCCTCAGAACTGATATATGATGCCTAAGTTAATCAGTTTTAAAGAATTTTTGTGACAAATGGCTATGAGCATAGTCATAAGAAATAGGAGCTAAATCAGTTTTTTGCCTCCTTTGAGTCAAATGCTACTTCTTGTGAGGCTTGACATAGTAAATGATGTATGGTAGAAGGCTTCAGCCCACAGGAGCAAAAATACTCTCTGTATTGCCTCTCTAAACTACTTGTTTATTGCTGTTACAAGTTGGCCTTCAGTTCCTATAATGGTTCAGATGGACAGCAAGCCTGCCAGAACAGGAGACCTTTTGTCTTCTGTGCTTATAAAGCTTTGGAATATCTGGAATTCTAGGTGAATAAAGGATGGCTACAGGTAATAGTGATATTCAGCAAGCAGATGATATGTTGTGGACAAAGTAAATAGGCTTAAACTTACTGCCCAAGAAATCTGTTCTGATGCAGAACAATCAGTTCTACTAGCAGCTTTAGTAATTCCTTTAACTGCTTCATTTTTATGCTGCTCTTTTTATCTGACACTACTGGTTTAGAGTAGTGGCAATAACAGATAAATACTTACTGCTTGTAGAATAGATCCATTACAGGAAACAGGAACAGATCATTTACAGCTTTTTTATTTTGCCCAGTGGTCTAAATCTGTTGTCCCCTTCCCCTAGTTAAGTCAGCTTTATGTCTTCCTAATACCCCAAGGAGAAAGCAGGTTGTGTTTTGTGACAAACATTTGCTTACTGTAATTACTATTTGCTTAGAAATTCAATGGGCTTCTATAAATTGTGGAAAAAGCCTATAATAATGGCTTATGCTCACCAGAACCTGTTAAAGACACTAGTGCTTACCAAGAGCAAAAAAGATCATGCTATGTAGAGATATGACAACCTTGAAAACTGTAGAATAATATTCATGAGCTGAGATGAAAATGGTTCCAAAAAGTGGTTTTCTAAATGCGTATTTGATTTTTCTCAAGCTTTCTGGCAGAAGTACACTGAGATGGAGTCACACCTGTGAAATGTCAAGTCAATTTGTTTGCTTTTGTCAAAGATGAAAAAAAGGGCTATTAAATTGAAATAATAAGAATATAATCTTGGTTTAGTATTAATTATAATGAGATAAGGTTGCGTGATATACTAATGCAACTCAATTGTAATGCGACTCCACTCACTATTTTGATAGGGAGCACTACATATATAGTAATTTTTGTAACAGATTTGAATTACAATGGATTTAGAAGCTGCTAAATTAATAGTTTGAGGATTTGGGGGTTTTGTGTTGATTTCTTTTTTCCAGTCTTCAAATTGGCACTCTACTTTTAAGGATTATACACTTTAACAGTTAAAGCTGGTTAATTGATGTGCAGTTGATATGATTCATTGTTTTGCTCTGTATCAACACACCCACACCAGGTGTCTCAGATAATAGGCTGGGAAACTTGGTAGTGTTGAGGATTTCCTGTCTGCAGATGTGCCAGTTACAATACTGATTGAAGAGAGTCAGCTTGGAGAGTTAGTTAAAAGCAGCCACTATTGTTAACTAATTGTAGCCTGAATTATAGTAGATGTTTCCTTAACTTTTGTAAAGCACATCATGGAATTTTAGTGGGATTTTATGAATAATGGTAAAAATATTTACTGACAGTGGCACATAGTTTGCGTTTTGTGAGCCTCAGTATTCTCTCCTAATGTAGGCCCTTGGAAAAAAAATTATATTGCGTTTCTATGAAGAGTTTTGTTTCTCTTCTGGAATGTGTGATTTTCTGCTTGTCTGAATAAGCCAATAAAAGCAGGCACAGTGCTCTCTTTGCTCTTCCAGTAGCTTCTTTGAACCAGTCAAAATATTTGAGGGGAAAAAAATTTAAAAAAAAAATCTCATTTTGATACCTTTTAATGTAGTTTAAAGGTTTCAATCCAAAGCTTTTGTAGATATCTCTTATAGGCCTGTTACCTTACTGAGTGACTATACTGTTATATTGCAGATCAGTGGAACAGCTCTTTCTTGACCTATATCTGATTCTGCCTGTTTAGTCCTGTAATATCCTTCTGTCTTTTACTACTGCTCTCTTCTGCTTTTGTGAGAATTCTCTTCAAATGATAAGTTTTTGAGATTTTTTTTTTTTCATCCAATATGGAACCAATAAACTTTTAATTTTACATAGTATTGCCCCTGCTCTTAAGGACACATTTATGTGTTAGGTGCCTGATATACACTAGCTGCAAAGCAGTGGTAAGGGTGTGGCATGTACAGACTGCACAGGGTCTTCATCCAGAGAAAAGGGTAGAGACTGGCACCTTTATAAACATACGCAAAGAGTTGCAAAGGACAAAGTTGCAAGAGAACAAAGTTTGTAGAATGGGTTTGTTCCAGCTATTGGGGGACTGAAACCTGTGAACTGAATGCTGCAGTTGTAACACAGCTAATATATAAAAGGAATTGGTGAGTAGTATTTCCATTTGAATTTCCAATAGGTGGCAAAAGATCACTGCTGTAATCAGAATTTGAGTATTCACAAAGTCCATAGAAAAGATGCTAACGAGGTCTTACTGTGCAGAGGAGCAACACTGAGTTGATGATTAAAATAAGTAGGTGTTCACAAAATATCCTAGAATTAGTTTGACAGAGAAAGTGAAGTACAATGCTAGCAAAACACCGTAGTAGTGTAATATGCTACTAAAACAGAAAGAGCAATGATCAGCAGCAGATTTAAAGTTTAGCTTTACAAAAAGAGATTTTCCCTGATGAGAGCAGCAGAACAACCATTTTCAAGTTCCATTGCACTCAAAAGCTTAGAGGAACACCACTGTGTCTTTGAAATAGTATCATCTTTGCCATGAAAAAGAATTATAACTTTAGCTGAATGGGTATCAGGTGTTGCACATCATGGGCTATCACGTATGTTGTCCTTCGTGTCAGACTGGCTGCTTGGCAGATTTATTTTCTAGTGCAGTAAAATAAGATAATCACTGTTCAGTATCAAGAAAGGCTTAAGTACATAACTTTTTTTTTAATAGCAGTTTTCTTCAAGTCTTACAACCAAATCAGTTTGGATTAACTAAGAAAACAGAAAATTTGTTTGGAGATTTTCTTTGAAAAGTCCCATATAATAAAATATCGCTGTGATCTATGGGCATCTCTCTGCCAACCCCTATAGAAAAGGGGATGGGCCTTAGATTTGCAAACAAAGGTCTTCTACCTTTGAACCATTCAGTGAAAAATAATGCACCTTGGTTGATCTCAGAGAGCTGTTAATGCTAAAGTGATGTGGTTTGCTGAAGCTCTGGGTCTTTGTTCTGAACTTCCCATGTCTCTTTCTCATTACTTTTAAAACCTTACTGTCTTGGCAAGATGTGTTTTCTGTAGTCCTAATGAAAACTGTCATTCCCATTACATCAGCCAGTGCTTTTAGGTTGTTTCCCAATATCTAGTTTTAATGACATTCAATCAGACTTTATTCAACAGGGCAATTTTTAATGTTCTAGTAATTTGTTTGCATTGAAAAAGGACTGGATGTAACTCTTATGCTACTTACTTTACTAGCTTGTAACTATAAAAGTCGCTTCTTCCTGCTAGGAAAAGTTCAGATGCCTGGCTGTGCCTCTAATCTGTGTGTGAATGTTCTGGATTCAAACCTATTTTCAGAGTTGATAGGTCATGGCTAGCCTTTATCTGAATGGTGGTATACATAAATAAAAATAATGGTGGAAAATGCTCCAAAGTAATTTCATGAAACCAGTATAATTACTATGATACTTTCTACAGAATGCAGATATTGTTCACACATAAACATCCAGGAGATTGATGCCAGTGACCTCACTTGGGAATGGTTGTTGGGTACTATTTTGAGACTACAGAGCCATCAGTAAGGCTATACAAAACCTCTGGTTAAAGCAAGCTTAGTGTGGGAATACTAATGTGAAGGTGAACTGTAGCTTTCTTCTCAAAAACTGTTTCCAGGCCACTTTACTTTGTACAGGACCTTGAGAACAAAAAAACAGAATTGTTAGAAACCTGTTGCATGCTATAAGATGTTCATTTGGTTACATGTCACTTGGAGTTGCTTTTCTTGTTCTTGTTTGGGTAGGACCAAAGTGACGTGTCTCCAGATGCAAGTAACTTCAGATGTACAGTGGATGGTGATGGCTACATGTTTACTGAGACCACCATGGCTGCCACAAGCTTTCTGCTGAGATGACACCTCTGTGTAATAAGTTTTACTAGTCAATGCTAGAAGAGTTAGTACAGCTTAGCAGACTTGGCAAAGAACCAGTTACTGCCCTAACACTGACTAAGGGTCAGGTTTTTTTCACAGTGAAGGTTTATCAGCCGTGAATGAAATACTCAAAAATGTCCTTGTAAAAATTGGTGCATGCTATTATCAATGTGGTATGGGCTCTGAACTTCTTTTTTACCTTAGTTAATCTTACTGTAGTCAATATTTTCTTGTAGTCTGGACATTAGTTACATGGAATGGGTCTTTATTAGTCATTATCATCTGGCTATGTTTTAGTGAATGATTTGTGGGTTTTAAGGAGGGGTTTAAAGGTGAAAAGGGTAGTGGACTTGAAACTGATTTGGGGAGCGTGTCAGGCACCTACAACAGTATGGGAGAGAGTACGAAAATTGGGAACATGGGTGAGATTTTTATTCAGGGCAAACTGAGGTCAGACTGGGTAAAGTTATGAAGTTATGCATCAAAATGCCAGTATAGGTAAGAAGTGGAGAAGACTATTGGGCTATTTATTCCAGGAGAACCATCCTGTCACCCTGCAGTATGCTCACACTGGCCACCTGCAGTATCATGCCTGATAATGAAATGCTTGTTTGGCTCCAGTTTGGATTTTTGAAACGCTGGGGGGCAAGCAGACATTCCAGCTTCTGTGGTTAAGAAGCTGCAGAAGACCCATTATAAAATTCTGCTGTCTGCTGCACCTTTATCACCCTGGGAAACCTGTATGCAAGAGTATGCTATCACTCATCACTGCTGCTACTTATTTGACTATGGCTATTCTTATGGTTTCTTCTCAGTTTAGCTGCTTCAGTGTCCTCTGTTGAAGGCTCTGCACCTGAAGGTTACAGCAGCCTGATGCTGCCTTCACCTTAATCTGTGTGCAGGTGTGATTACCAGCCAGAGCCCATCAGCAGGTGATAGGACAGAAAGGCCATGTCACAGTATAACCAGCCTAGCACGTGTCAGAGATGGGTGCTTTAAGCAGTCTCTTGTCGCTCTCATTAGCTAAACTGGCTGGTAGCCCCTTCAAAATGTTGTTAGATTTTACAAAAACAGATCAAAAAGGTGTTTTTTCTTTTAAAGTGAAAAGTGAATGGGGGCAGGCCCTGAAGGCAGGGGTCTGTGTGGTTTTCACAGCTATGTGCTTATTGTATTTGTTTATTGAAGATGAGATTGTTTATTGTTTATTTTGTTATTTTGTTTTATATTGTTATTAATTTGTTTATTGGAGATGAGATCGTGGTGGGGTATTAAAAGCGCAGGAGGCAGGTAGCATTTTTAAGGGTCAGATTAGAATGGCACTTTTCTTCTAGATGTCTGACATAACATCTTGCTGTTTGGAACAAAAGCTAGATCTGGTCTTGTGTCTTATACAGTCATACAGTCCTTGTTCTATAGCAGTTTCAGGGCAGTGGACATCTTCAAATTAAAACCTTGTGTGCTGGCTTTAGTGGGAGGGAGGCAGGAGGCCATCTCTGTGTTAGGTGTCTGGTATGATTTGGCAAAGTTTTGTGCTGCCTTCTTGATTTTTCAAGTAAGCTGTAAAGTCATGCTTTCTTGAAGCTGTAAATGTAAAATATTGAGAAGTTATGGGTATAAAAAAAAAATGTTCTTCTGAGCCAATACTGCTGAGAAATTGTGGGAACTGATTCTATAATACAAGTAAGTGAATGTTGGGAAATACCAGAATTTCCTGAAGTTGACATTAAAACTTACCAAGACACATTGGATAATCATGAACTTAAACTACTGAATCTGAGGTGAAGCAAGATCACTAAGTGTAATTCTGGCTTATGGAGGTGAGCCAGCATGGGGCTGAAGGCCAATAAAGCTTCAGTTCAATTTATTAAAGTTTGGTTTTTGCTTTCAGAAATAATATTTAGGCAGTAAACTTGAGAGAGAAATTTCACTATAAGTAGCACCACAGTTTTTGTAACTCCTAGCTATTAATACCAAGCTGTACATATGTTAAAATAGACTGGAATTGAAAGGTTAAGTGTTATCCTGCAGATTTGATAAACTCGGCTGTTGTTGTCACAGGTCTTTAAGTGACTCTATTGACAGTTTTTGCTTTTTTCCTCTTTCAATGCCTGCCATTGCGTGCTAAGCTTTCTCTTGGCTCTGCCTGGCAGGAAAAAGGGGAAACTAGAAAACCCCATTAGTTGTCCATTTGCAGAATATCCAAGCTTTACTCTCAATACACAAAGAAATACAACAGTAGGAAGTTGTTTCACATCCGAGCCAAGATAAGGTCCTGGAGGTTTATTATTTTTGTTGCCTGATAGCATCAGGACTGGGGAGCAGGGGGCAGAGAAGGAACAGCAGATCAACATCCCATGGGGACAACAGAAGGGAAGACAGACAGATAGCCAAGTGCCGACAGCTTCAGTCAGTACTCCCAGAGGAAGTGTTGGTTTCAGCAGATGAAATTAATACACAGAAGTCTTTACAGAGGCATTCAGATGTGACATTGTTTGAGGGGCCTGGCTATATGGCAGATGTATAAAGCAGTGAATCATATGTTTACATATAATTATGTCTGTATTGACAAGCCAGGTTTTCCTTTTGTTTAATAATTTCCTACATTAACATCAAAGAGCTTGTTTTTATAATGAAAACACATTTCCCTTTTAGTTTTGCTTTGCTATAGCTCTGTATTAACATCAAACACAAAATCATGACTCACGCAAAGGAGACCTGTAGATGTAGATAAATCCATGTTCATTTATAGCCTCTAAAAAATAGATGCAATGTTATAAAATGTCCTTTATTTGGATATATTCAGGTAATCTTTTCTATGTGATCCTTTGTGTCCCTACAAATTTGGGGAGTACCTGATAATTTCACTGTGCTTATTAACTTTCAAATACATTTGAAAAATTGGATGGGATTTAAGATTCCAATTTCTGGGTCAGGATTTGCTTTGTTAGATACCCTATAGAAAGTTCAGTGTAATGTTAAGACTTTGGTGGTCTAAGTGGTAACTCTATGCAGAAAACACACCAAAATATTTTTTTAAACGTGATAATTTGAAGTCGTAGGAAGAGGAAGCTGAAATAAAATCTAAGCTTGGTGTAATTTGCCTCATTTGTTTTTAAATCCGTCTAAGAGAGTGTTTCTAAATGCTAGGAATAGAGTTTCTAAAGTCTGCAGAAACAGCTCAGATGCAGAGTTTGAGCTAAATAACACAGCATTAAGGACTTGAGAGCAAAGTTGGTAAACTTTTTCATCCAAGCTGAGGGAAATAAAAATGCTTTAAGAGAAGTGTATCAGATAATGAGAAAAGAGGATTTCAGGAATGTTTAACATTGAACAGCAGTATTAATTTTTACCCACAAGTGTGCGCAACGGACTGTTTGTAAGTACTGAGTGCCATTCAGTTAATGTTTATGGGACATTTTCAGTGTAGAAGTTGCTTAGTTATTATATGTATATTCATGTTCCATTAGGAAACTGAATTTAGAATGTGCATCAAATATTAAAGTATCAAAGCATTGCACTTTTTGCAGTGGTTGTTGTCCTGCGCATTTTAAAAGGATAGCTTTCTCTGAAATAGTCTGAGCAAAGGCAATAGTAATAATGCTCCTTTCACAAAGAAATTCATATCCAAACTTTCCACCCTTACAGCTTTTTAGTATGAGATCAGTTTTGTCATGTTTCTGCCTGGACGGTCAAATAGCACAAAATTCTAGGAAAGCTACAGTGGAGGATCCCAGATTTCTCGATTAAGACTGCTGAAGTTTTACAACAGTTTTTACCTTTTTTCTTTTTTTCCCCTCTTAAGGCCGAGCCCCTGATGTTAAAACTCTCAACTTGGATGCAGTTGGAGTGAAAACTAATTCTGAAACTGGAAAGATCATTGTTGATGCCAGTGAAGCTACTTCTGTTCCTCACATTTATGCAATTGGAGATATAACAGAGGTACCGAGTCTACATAAACTATTTTACAATAACAGGAAGCCAACTTTGTTCCTGACTAATAACTAGTCCCCAGACATCGTCATGCTCTAGCATATATCTTCATGTTTTGCTCTTTTCATTTTGCAGAGCTGTAGTGTTTATGCCAGCCACCTGGGTCAGTAATTTCCTTCATATGGATCTTGTGAAGTATTTCAGCATTACTTATTATTACTGATGTTTATCAGGGAATGCATTATTGGTCAGAGGCTAAGAATAATGTCTTTATCGCTTCAATTATCTTTCTAATAATGTTTTTATCACTTCAGATGTATGACTTCATAATGCCTGTGACTGCTGAGTGAAAGCAGCTTTTACCTTCTGAAGCGGAATACACTTACTTGGAATGACCATGACAAGTTCCTCTTCTAGTATTTTGGAGGCTAATTGACACTAGTCCCAAGACAGCATTTCTGCTGCCTGACACAAAATGCTTCTGACTGTAAAGTGTCTTCCTCTAGAATAAGAAAAACTAATTGCTGCAAATACTAAATGCATTTTACTTCTGTTCATGATTTATGAATTATTATAACAAGTAAACGTGAGGTGTGGTGTTTTGGTTTGGGTTTTTTTGTTTATTTGTTGTCCTTTGATGGTTTGGGTTTTTTCCTAAAGGAAGGTACATTATAACAAGAGCAAAATTATTTACTTACTATAGGTGCAAAGCCAGAATTATGTGGCCTTAATCCAGTGCTGTTGATAATCTACAGTTGTTTGTGACAACAGTTCCTTGTCCTGATCAAAGTGCACTTAAATACTTCTAAATCCCCCAACTTTAAGTTTACAGAAGAACTCTGAGTATCTACTGTAAGCTGGGGCATCTTCAAACGTTGTCTTCATAAATAGTGTTTGTCTGGATTCCAAACTGCACTGTTACAGGAGGATGTTTTCATCAGGTGCCTGCTGTTCCTGAAAAATCAGGGCAATATGTAGAATCTAGAAAGTGGACATTGCAAAATACAGAATTCTTTCACCTGTTTTTGAACTTAGTGGAATTAAGCACATGCCTTCCTATCAAGACTGGTTTTGGTATAGTGAAGGCATCTGTTTTGAAAGTCTGGTAAATCTAAATACTGTAGTGATATCCAGACACCATATATAGTATAATTTGAGAGATCCTTTAAAGATTTCTCATTCTGCAATGTTTAAAATCTTTTAAAGGTCTCTCACCAAACCCTACAGGTGCTCTGAGTTTTTGAAGAGATGCAACAGGTTACATAATGTCTTGGGAATAGTGCTGCACATTTCTGACTGAACTCTGGAACTGCCATCTCATAAATCTGATGACCTCTTCCCCTCTGTGTAGACATGTGTTTCTTCCTGTCTGTCTCCATCTTCATGCGAATGACTTGCCATTTCCTTTTAAACTGAATTAAAACTTTTTCCTGCTCAGCTATTTCTCCATTTTGTTTTTACTCTCCACAGCTTCTCTGTCCAGTCCAGCCACTCAGAGCTTTGGGATTATGTGCAGTTCCTCTCCTTTCTTTTCACTTAACATGCAGGTTCCCTCTGCTGTACTTGTCACTTCTTGCTCTGGCTTATTTCCTGAAGCCCTCTTTCTGCTCACAGTGACCTCCTACACCTACTTGTCCCTGATACATGCCTTGGTTAGGCCTCCTGCTTTTCAAACTTTTCTTTTTAATTTAATCCAAGAAGCAGTTATTAGAGGCAGTGCTGGCAGGGCCTTGGATGCTGATGCTGATTTTGCTGCCAATCTGCAGTGTTATTTTGGGCAAGTCATTTCCTTTTCGGTGCTTTTTGTTTTCTGCCATTTGAGGATTTAGTTAAGTAAGAAATATAAAGTTGGAAGCAGGATGCTCTTCTCTTTCCTACTCTGGATCTAAAAAATCAGGTCTTCATTTATTTGTCATTTTCATTTTGTTGTTAAAATTTGGATTTCCTTTTCCTGCTTTTGCCCTTTTTAGTGCAGATTTGAATGTAAGTTGTTTAATAGGCACTTCAAAATGTAAGTGTTTAAAACAGCAACATAGTTTTATACTGAGTGACAGTGAACTGGGGAAAACTGCAGTTAAATCAGTGCTCTGGAGAAGTATTTTCTTATGCTTTTATCTGCATATGGGCTTAATGCAGGGAATTTAAGAAATCACAATGCATTAATAGAGCTTAAAGATAGAAGAAATTATTGCTGTTATCTGACTCCAGTACAGTGTAAGCCACGAATTCCACTTGCTAAGCAATAAAGTTTGTTTTAATTCTTTAATTTTTTTTAGCAGAATTAATTTAGATAGTTAATTTCATTGATATGGGGACCAGCAGTGAAAGAAAGTTCTGTACTGGTGCGTATCTCAAAGAAAATACACAATAGAATCAAGTGTGCTAAGAACCACAAAGCTGTAGAGCTTGGTATATGATACTTTCTAGGTGAGACCTATCAAAAGAGATCAGGAAGGCGAATCTTGTTTCCTGTGTATGAGCTTCTTAATATTCTTAATATTGATTATAAGAGTAAGATTTTTTTTTTCCCAGCAGTGTTCTTGTTCAAGATTTCTCTTTGCTCTGCTCTCTCCCTGTTAGATTCTCTTTGGTACCATGAAGTGCTATTGCTCATACCTTTGCAAATACTTCTCAAGCCCTTCTCCTCCCTCCTTTACCATGTCACATGAATAGGCACCATACTGCTACCAAATAGCAAGAAGTCCTTTTTTTTTGTTTTAATTGAGTGCCCTGGCTGGAAAGGGAGTGTGAGAGGAGAAAGGTGAATGCTCAGAATGACTGTTTTCATTTGCGAGTCATACCCATCTGGTACAAGTGGGAAACTATGTGTGCATGGGTGTCCTGTTGCACCCTTGTATGGCAAATGGAATCCTAATGTTATCCAAGCTGTTCATTTGGAGAAAAGGGGGGAAAAAACCCCATTCCAGAGGTCAGTTGCTTTGTCTCAAAAAAGTTTTTCAAGCTGTGGTAAAATATTATTTTCAATTAACAGGTGAAATTGCATGTAGACATTTTCATCTTCTGTGATCAGGATGAGGAAGATCAAGCTGGAATTTTAGTTTTAATTTTTTTTCAGTGCTGATATAAATGCTTTGTGTTAAAATTCTTTCTCCAGTAGTATTCTTGTTGAAAAGCATAGCACAAAACTATAGAGAAGTTCTCAGAAGGGGGTTTATCATATGGTCATGCCACTATACATCTGTCATATTTCAAAGGGTGTTATAACAAAGATGTGTAGAGAAGGTGGAATGTACAGTATGTTGCTTTGAATAGAAATGAGACCAAAAAAAAAGTTGTGTTAGAACAAATACACATTACTTCAAAGCTTTTTAAACTCTCTTAGGAGTCATCTCGTTTAAATGTATAATACATTGGAGGGTTCTTAGGAACAACTCATACCCATAATAATCAGCAGAGTAGTTCTACACATGACTGCAAAGTGAATGTTCATTTCAAATATTTACCAAGGAAGGTCTTTAAGTCATTGTTTATGAGAAATTGGGCTTTATCTGCATGGATGTTTTAGTAATTAGTTGGGTTTTATGGAATGCATGGCAGTGCTTTCACAGTTTTATCTCTCGTTCCAATCTTCTATTCATTTCTGGAATGCCAAAACAACATCTGTATTTCCTGCTACAGAAATGATTGGCAGCCATGTTTCGGGCAAATGTGGATAAGAAAAAACAAATGGCAAATTTCATCTGGTAAATGACATTTACAGACTTGAAAGTCAGAATGTTGGATTTGAAAAAACATAACTTGATGGATCTAAAGGTGAAAAAAGGGATAGATTTGCAGTGTTGTGGTTTGTCATAAACTGTGGGGAAAAACAGGTTAGTCTTCATTAACAATTAGAATTGTAGTTTCTGTTATGGGGTTAGACATAATGTTTCAGTTTGGTTTTTTGCAAAGGAATTTTTAAATTAAGTGGTTATTAATACATATAAAAAACCATAAATGCACATTAATATGTATGGTACATGACATACATGGTAGCTAATACCATGTACAGAATCTACGTAGCAACATAAAGAAAAAGGTAAGCTGGGAAAGAGGAATGGATTCCAGTAAACACTAAAAACCTTCAGGATAATGAAAAAAAATGGTTGAAAAACTTGAATGTGTGTGCTGGGGGAATCCTTACTTTAGTTTTTGCTGGAGACTATTTTTGAGGGCTTATTGGATTACTTACTGGGGAGGATTTATAGGATTACTACTTCCAGATGCAAGAGAGTGATGAGCTTTGTGTCTAGATAGCACCTGTATGAATCAATACTTCACACATTTTACACAGCATTCTATGTTGTCCCACAAAGATCTTTCTCAGTTACAATTGTCTTATGTTTCTACATCATTCCTTCTAGATTTGCAACTTCTTTCATCATCTCAGACAAGCATCTTAATGATGTGTCATAGATGAATTCTTGAATAATGCTTTTTACAAGACTTATAAAATCTGTTATGTCTTACTAATTTGCATGGACTGCTCTTCCTTGGACTACAAAACATTCCTATGAAAATGCCTATTTGAATTAGCAAAAACTTCCAGCATCCTTAGGTTTAGCACTGGAGTTCTGATGCTCCAATGGTATTGTGCCAGCACTCAAAATAAGGGTTCTGGCACACTGCATAGTTTTCTTTAGATATAAAAGGTAGGTAGGACTCAAGGCTTGAACTGGACCATGTCCTGATCATATCCTGTTATCATTCCATTTCTCACTTACAGAAAGTTAGCATTTGCCAGTAGCAGTCCAAGCCTCTCTTTAATACCAGAGCCTGAGACTGGGACAAACTCAACTTATAGTTGCAGTGCTAAGAGAGTAGTGTTCCATTTCTCTAATCCAGGACCAACATAGGAAGTCAGTCATAATACCTACAAATAGCTAATTTTTGAGCCTCTGTTCTGGAAAAATGTGTCAGACAACTTTTTTAAGAGGTCTGATGTTATAAAACCACTGTTGCTTTATTCTAGGTTTTTCCTGCTTTAAAAAGACCATCTGAAAAATTTCTTGATGGCTTACTATGAAAAGAAAGGGGGAATTGAATGGTTAGCATATGAATATCCTCTGCTTTTCCAGAGGTGACATGATAAGATACAAGGTTTTGACACATTCATGGCATTTGTTTCCCCCCACACACTTCCCCATTAAGACAGATACTGAACTTGGAGACTTAAAAGCATGTTTGGACAGAAATTATTACTTCCTTCTCTGTTTGGAGCCCTGGCTACCAGGCTGAAATTCCAAAGATTTGGCCTTCTTCTGACTATTGTCCCAGGAGAAATCCTTGGATGTTACTTCTCTCTTAGTTAAAACAAAGCTTTGTGCTCTCTTCTTAGGGCCGTCCTGAATTAACACCCACAGCAATAACCGCAGGAAAACTGCTGGCTCGGCGTCTTTTTGGCCAGTCTTCAGAATTGATGGACTATGACAATGTGAGTTGTTTTCTTCTTTTCAATAATAAAAGCCAAACCTAAATTTATTTTTTTTTTACTACTTTTTTTTTTTTTAATTTATGCATCTTTAAAGAAATTACATTTTGTCCTCTGGAATCTGGGATCTAGCTTTTACAGTAGCCAAAGTAGACGTGTGTGATAGAGCTACACTTCTCAGACATGCAGAAGTTTCCCTTTTTGCATGCTTCATATGGTTCAACAGTAACACTGTTTCCTCTTAAATAGGTACCTACCACAGTTTTCACTCCCTTGGAATATGGTTGTGTTGGATTGTCAGAAGAAGCAGCTGTGCAGTCTTATGGATCAGATAATATTGAGGTATGAAAGCATTTTTAATTGTATAACTGGTATCAGAAGTTTCATTGTTGTGTCAGGCAAAGTATTATGTTTGCAGTTAAGGAGTTGGTGTCTTCAGAAACGCTCAGGTCTTTGAAAGTATTGCAGCAGGTCACAATGGAAGCTGTTACCTAGTGAGCTTAAAATTGGTAGGGTGTGACAGTTTTAAACTCGCTGACATTTTAGTAAGTTATATTTGCAGCATCATTAAATATTGGTTATGTTCCTTTTAATTGTCAGAATTGCTGGTCACATTCTTTAGTCTAAATCTGTGGGATGTCACCAGAAATATTCACACAAGCTGCTAAGTGTCTTCATGGCTATGATGTCTTGATAGAATATGCCTGAGTGTTGCATATTGAGGAAGAAATCCATTATGGCATATATTCACACCCAGCCCTCTGATGTGAAGAATGAGATTGTGATACTTGTGATGAAGAAATTCACAAGCATTATATAGTAAGGCAAAATTCAAACAAGTCAGCCTTGAAAAACTATGTTGTATTACCTTTATTCACTCATCAAAAAGACTGTCAGCAAATGACTCGGTTAGCTTTGGAAATACAATATGCAACAGTTTAGTTCCTGTCCAGTCAGTTATTAGTTTTGTCTTTTATGATTCTGAAATACAGTTTATACTTAAAAGATCTGTCCCAGAACTCTTATCTTGGTTTGTTCTCAGTTGATTAAGGCAGGTAATCAATGTGTGTGTGTCATAAGGTGCTCCTGTTATGTATATATTGGAAAGCAATTTCAGCTGATGGATTTAGCTTGGAGCCCCAGGCAAAGCATTTAATATAAAAATAAGTATTTAGTATTCAGAATGCAAAACTTACAGTTCAGGTTGTCTTGTCACATACATTATTATAGATATGGTAAGTTTCTTGGCTTGCATTATTTTCAGTAAGCAAAGTATTAAATTTTTGGGAAAAGGAGCAAACTAACACTTCTAATTTGGGACACTGGTTTGAGTAACATGATTATTTGTGAACTTTTTTTCAGTTTGTTTTTAATCTAATGGTTCTGTGAGAAAGTTTTGTGTTAAACTTCTGTGTTTTCCACATTTTTCCTTAAAATAATGAACAGGTTGTAAATAAATCATTTTTTTCTACAACATTATAGATGTGTCATAATAATAGTCATTATAATACTAAATAGCAGTTTTTTACATAATAGTACTCTCTAACACAAAATGTTATTGTTTTCCCTACCAGGTATACCATGCGTATTATAAACCTTTGGAGTTTACAGTGGCTGAAAGAGATGCAACTCAATGCTATATAAAAGTGAGTGTTGTGAGCTTTAACTTGCTTTTAACTGAAAACAAGAGATATGGTAGAGCCATCTTTGAGGAGGACTGTTTGGCAAAAAAACCCCCACTCAAGATGGATGAAATATTTTCTTGGTGCAACCTGTCTCTTTTGTCAAACTTCATGTGTTTAATATTCATTACATATCCTTCTGCATATTAAAATTGCTTTACAAGTATTAGAATCTTTCAGAGCTGACATTCTGTTGATTGATACCATCTTTGAACTGCTTTTAAGATGTTAATAAATATTCCAGTTTTTCTAATTATATTTTTTCACATGTGATTTATGTAAATGCCTTAGTAGCTTGCCTTAACTGTCCCAAGTACCAGTGCAACTAAAGTGATGCTACTTTTTAGCTATTCCCTTTAAATTATGCCAATTAAATTAAATATTTGAGGGTAAAGTAGTAATAGCATAAAAATTGGTGGATGATACTGAATATAGTCCTTACTAAACTCCCAAAACACATGAACAGACATTAAACTTGAGAGTTTCAAACTCTATTGCAAGAGGGTTTTATCTTTTAAACTCCTTGATATTTAAAGAACCATGTCAAGATTGCTGCTGTTCCTGGGATTTCTAATGAAAGAACCCAAGCCCTTACTGAACAACAGAACCTATTAGATTAGCGATGATTTAGTGCTTGATGAGTGGACAAAGGGAGAGACTGACTTTCTTTTCATAATTATAAAGATGGTGTACTTAAAAGAACTAACCAGTTTTCATTAAGTTCTCTAATAAAAGTGAATGAGGCCCTCCCAGATACTTATTAACTCACCTTCATCTGTGGCTGCTTCCAAGCCTTGACTCCTTTTTAGGTTATGTGGCTGATGTGGTGAATGTATCTCACCAAACATCCTGCTGTGTTTACTGACTGAATCAAAAAGGCACAAAATATTCTATAATTGGTAGTGGTCATCTTTGGAAATACAGTTGGTTAGCTAGTGAGAGTAAGTGCACGGGCTTGGAGAATTGCTAAGGTAGCCACTCAGTGTCAAAATAACACTAGTCTGGTTACTAGACTACAGAAGGTATTTTGAGGATTTCATACAAATGACAGACAACAAAATATGCAATTTACCACAAATTGTCATTGTCAGTGGCTCCCAGAAGTCTGAAAGAAATACATCAATAAAGCTTTGATTCAGGAAAGTGCTTAACGACAAGCATAAAACCTATTGAAGTCAGTAAGTCTTAAGCAAGTGCGTAAGTTCTTGGCACACTGGAGTAAACAGCTGTACTAGGATCTCAGGGCACTTCAGTTCCATTTAATTCAACTTTATGCCTTATCTTTAAATGTTCTAAGAAAAGATCTCTATGTAATGTATTGTTTTCAGATGGTGTGCTTACGAGAGAGAGAGCAACGAATACTTGGCCTTCATTTCATTGGACCAAATGCAGGCGAAGTTATTCAAGGATTTGCTCTTGGAATCAAGTAAGTACAAAAGAATGTCTCTAACTTCTAAAGCCTGCTTTTTAAGTTATTGTAAGATTATAAAAGATAGCTGCCTAGTTTTGGCAACACTATAAAGAATCCATGATTTTTGTTACTTTTATGTAGAATTGCACATATTTTCACTAAAAATACTGCAGTTCTTCATTAAGTTGTACTGGATTTAGTTACTGTAATACTGGATATAGTTAAGGAGCAACTGAGGAAAATATATTGTTGGCTTATATAGTTAAAGCAAAAAATAAAACTGTGCATTAACTTACTAATATAAGTTTTCTCAGAGTGTAGCTTCTTTTGCATTCTGTGTGCAGGATAGGAAATCACCATATAGTTTTGCAAGTCACTTCTTTAAAAGGATATTTTTGCTCTTCAAAAAAACCCTTTCTTTATTCCTGCCAATCATTTTCTTTCTTAATCTCATCTTTAAACGTGCACAGCCATTGCTCATCAAAAGCTCAGCAAGGACTTGCATGAATTTTTATATTTTTGGGGTTATAAGCTAACAGTAACGTGGTAAGGTAAGAAAGAAACCTCTGTAGGCTGATAGAAGAGGAGAGATGCTTTTGTCTGGAGCTATCTGGTAATTGCAGTAACAAGCTTACCCAAGTAGATGAACCTTTGTGACTTGACCTTGTTTGATATTACTCAAATATTAACATGAAAGTTCTCCCTTTGAAGGAATAAGGAATGATTCTGGGTCCTGTCTGGTTAAATAGAGAATTCCTACTATGCTTCTTGTGTGCTACAATTACTTCTTATTTGTTTTTATATTTCCCTTCTTAATGCTGATTCACATCTTCAGAAATGTTGATTTGTATATTTATGTTACTAAATTATAGTTTTTAACTCCTCTTTGAAGAAAGTACGCTGGGACACAAGAAATCAACCCTAATTGTGGTGTACGTTCATTTTCCTAAATATCATCATTTTATTGCAGTTTTAGTCTTACAGTTGTGAGTGACTAGCATAAATGAAAAGCAGAAAGGATTAAGAAGGCAGGACCGCAAGTATCATGTGAGAAGTATCTTGGAAATCACTGATTGCAGTGTGCCCTCAGTACACATTTTCAACATGTGTTTGTAGTCCATTAATTGCCAGTGGTATAGATTCTAGAACTACATTTTTTAGGATGTCATTGTTTTGAAGTTTTATCCAAAATAACCAGTGAAAAGGAAGCACATGAAACTGGAGTGCTTTTCTGCCTTGCCTGAGGGAAATTAAAACTTTAGCCACAGTAAGAGGTTTTCAGCAGGTCAGATTCTTGTATTGGTTTCTATTGTATTTCACAAATCCAGGGTTTTCAATGTGGAACACCCACTATAAGAGCTGCTGTTTTCCTTTGTCAAATGTTAGGTCTTACTTCAGCCTCTCCAAAGGATGACTTTCCATCTCCCCTCCCCACTTAGCACTCCAGTAATGTGTGCTTAGCAGCAATTTTTTGCTTGTTGGTGCTTTTCTGGATGTAGGAGGAGAAGACATCTATGAAGACAGAACCCTTCTCTGTATTTTGTAGAAGGAGAGAACATTATTCTATAGAGAGCTTGAAACTATTCTTAAGTTTAGGGCCATTTTAGCTATTCTTACAGTATGACCTGCCAGGAATAGCAGCTTGAAGGAAAGTCATGAAGTCTAAGAATGTTATTGGACACGTAAAGGAATTAAGCTAGCGGAATTTTAGCTCCAGGTTTTTTGGTGGGATTTTGTTTTGTTTTTTTCAAAGAAAGACTTTTTCCTTCTACTTATGTTATTGATAATTTCAGTTTAAGCACCAGACTTTCTCTAAGATCATGGAAGAATATTCTGGTATTACTTCCTTCAGCAGATTCTTTCCAGCAGTCCTAATTATGATTTTCTTCCTCTGTGTGTATATGTGTGTTTTTCCATCTGGAGTCGGAGTTAGTGAAACACACATGTATGTACAAGAAAAGCTGAAGGCTGCTGTTGTATCACATGCTTTTGCCATAGGCTCAGTTGTGACTTGGGATAAATTGCTTAATTCTCTCTGTCTCAACTCTTACGACAGTTCTTCCCTACCTAACAGTGTTGTGAAGCTGGGTGTTTAAATGTTGTGTAAGTGCCTGAGAAATAACAGACAGCATTGTTTGAAGAATAAATGAACTCCTCTTCTGATAAAATGGATAAGAGCAGAATTACTTTGATGTCTTAGGACATTCTAGCTGCTTCAGGTGAATAGTGTTTGACTTTGTGAATCTTTGGTTTGTTTTTTATTTTGTAGATGTGGTGCTACATATCCTCAGCTAATGAAGACAGTTGGCATTCACCCTACCTGTGCTGAAGAAGTTACCAAGTTGCACATTACAAAGCGTTCTGGCTTGGATGCAACAGTTACAGGCTGCTGAGGTTAAAAATGCCATCTCTGGAAAGAAGGAAAAAAAGCACAAAATATATTTGTAAAGAAAAGGGGCACTTAGAGTTAGGAACAGTTTTAATGGTTCAAGTTCCAGGAATCTTTTCTTGTTCTCCCTGTAAACAGCTTTCTTTTTCAGCTAGATTGTCCTCACACCATCACAGTTCTAAAACCAATTCAGTCCTGCTGTAACAAATTCTTTCTGGAGCCAGGAATAATCGCAGGTTTATATATGTAAATATAACTGAAGCCATTGACATCTGAGGCCATCTACAAATGAAGCCTTTGTCATTTGAGTTTCTGTTGGCATGGCTGACTGCCAACAGAAGCATCTCACGTAATATTCATACAGATCCTAGGAGCTTGACAGGGCCTCCCTTAGAATTTTGGCCATGAGACTTTCTCCTGAGTGCTTGGATAGTTCATTACTCCTAATCTTGAACACTGAGATGCTGTACTCAGTAGTAGGAACAAGTTCCCAGACTATGTAACAGTGGGCTAGCAATCATCTTTGGGATTTTCTTTAAAACGTAGTATGTATATTTAATAGAAAATCACTTAACACTGAAGCTATGCTGCTACTGGATGAATCCCAATGGATTAATCAGTGGCAGCCTGATCATAACATTATGGTGATGGCTGAGAATGAATAAGCTCAGAGGTGTTAAAGAAAAAAGTTGAATTTTATGGTGACTTCTCTGCCTACTTTTGAAGTTTCTAATTCAGTTCACATTGACACATCTCACAAATTATTGCTTGAACACCATATTTTAAGCAATGCTGACAAGTAGAATCAAAACAGCCAATAATCCAATTCATGCCACATATTATGTTTTATAGGATGTGGGAATCTGGCCGACACAGTGATATATTTGTTGGTTGGTTTTTAAGATTTTCTCACTGATGAGGTGGATGCTGATTCCGAATGGATTTAGATCAGGCTTTAATAGAACATGTTACTGAAGGGAACTATGTTAAACAATGATCTAGAAAAGAAATAGTCCTGCTCAGAATAAAGACAGAAAATAAATAGCTGCAAACTTGTTTTTTTAAGTATTGGCCAGAATAAGAAAGCACTGATCTGTTGCAAATTTCTGCTTATGTTCCTGTTATCCAGAAGGGGGAGATGCTGGCTAATATGTAGCAATGAAGAAACAGAAATCTGATGGTGAAGCTTCTTTTGCAGAACTCGGTTAAAAAGTAGCCTGACAAAGGCAAACACAAACTAAACTGCAGTAAATTTTCAGTCCAAGTTGCAGCTGTCAACATTTTATATGCATAGTCATATATTTCTTGCACCCTTTACAGTAGTAAAAGATCAGTTTGAGGTGAAACAAATGTATCCTTTTTGCAGTTAATTCATATCGGTGTTTTTGTGTGTGGAATTTGATAGTTCCATAGCTATCCTGCTTGTTGCACAGTTTAGAAGAAAAGTCTGATGGCTGTGTATATATTTGCTAATTTTAATTTGATTGCCATTTCACTGCTGCAGCATGCAACACAGACAAATGGTTGGTTTCTTTCAAGGGTGGTATCTTTTTTACTATGATAAAGAAATCATAGTAAAACTGAGAAGCTGTTAGACAAATAGTGATCAGAACTTCCTTCTAAAATGTGATGTAACAGCATTTGTCACACTGTCACTGATAATAGAATACTGCTTTTCTAAAGATTTGTTCTGACTTAACAACAAAAGAAATCTTAAATGCTTTCTTTAGAAAGTTTCCTGATTTGTGGTCCGTATTTCTGGTCCATAAAACAGGAAGAAGTGATACAATTTGACTGCAGATGGCATTCCCTATGAGGTCTGCTGATGCTATTTTTCATCTGTGAAGTTATCCATAAGGTTGTAGTTGAATAAAGAAGCCTTTTGAGTGGAAGTGTTGTTGAAACACTGCCTGAATATTGCAATTGCCATTAGAAGAAATGATGAAAAATTTATATCTTATACAGTTAAAAATGTGTGCATACCTGTGCATTCAGAAGTTAATTTCCCTTATTAAAGACCTTCTGAGTATGTTGCTGCTAAAAAAAAACCCTACTAGCTTTTCCAGCTGTTTATATATAAATATTTTTTTAAAGTTCATAGTAAATTGAGCTTTTTTAAAACTTAATATTTCAAAACTTTGAGATTCTGAGCATTGCAGCCTACAGAGACAGAAACATCCCACTTCTGACTTAACTGTAATGTGTATGCATGCAAGATTATTTTTTTCCTAGTGATTGCCTATTACAATTCCTTTTGTACCCCTAATTGGTGTTTACTGTGTGTCAGCTGCTTGTCTTCTCTGTCTTACCAGTGCATCCAACAGACTGAAGAGTCTGCTGCTACAGACAAATCAATGGAAAGACGAGTTAACTTAATTCATCATAAAGTTCCAAATAGTGATTTGGGAGAACAAGTAAAGAGATCTCAAGGAAACATACCCTCAGTGTATGTGGGGTGTGAAACTAAGGCATGTCATCATTCTCAGGAGTAATAGAACTGTATTCATTTTAGAACTGCTGAGTGGTCTGCATGAAAATTGATCCTGGATCTTGAACAGCAGCCTAGTTCTGTTACTCATTTAGTGGAAAAAATTGTTGCCCCCAGTGTAAAACTAAACATACATTCACACTTATACAACCCTAATGTCAGCATCAACATCAAGACAGAATAATGACAATTACTGTGATTGTGCTTTTTTTCCTGAATGATTCACTAGGGATGGTCCTTAAGAATTGTTTTTTTAAAGCCTGACAGATACCAGTTGAAATGGCTGATGTGCAGTGCAAATTACTGACTACATGTGAGCACGTTAAAAAAGAAATCCGAAAATTTAGTCAGGCTTCTTCTCAGGATGCCAGCCGATGAGGGCTTGTTTGTCAAACCACCCCGTGGTGCAAACAAGTCTGAGTGTTACTGGGTCCCTCATATGTACAATCTCAATATTTATTGTGTTGTGAATTAATGAATTAATAAAGATATCTTTTTCTAGTAAGTGCTTGAATGTATTTATTAGATTTTGTTTATATGACTTATGCTGGCAAAAGATTTCCTTTTTGATCTTAACACTGTTTCTCTTGGTTGAAATATTTGTTAAGGAAACGAAGTAGATAGACCTTTTAATAAGGAGATGTTGATAACTCTCTGATGTGTAAACTGAATAGCCATGAAGATTATTTCAGGCTGGATGACCTTATTTTAAATTTCAACTAAGAGAATCTCTAGGCTTGGTAAGTGTGGTTTCAAATACTCTCCTGTTTATTCCTGCTAATGAGGTCTAACAGGTATTTTCACAGTCCATATGTGCTGACATGCTTCTTGAAGATTTGGCAAGATAAACTCCTTTGAAATACTGTGCAGTCAGGATATTGCACAGGACTATATACTGTATTGGACAGTACCTATTCACTTTCAGTTTTAAACTAGAACATGTAGTGGAAAGAAAGCATTGCAGCACAGCTAATTAATAGCTATGGGTACTGCTATGAAAAAGTGTTGGAAAATGAATTGGGAAATGCCTAGCAAAATGTATTTTAAAACACTGGGAAACTTCTCTGTCAGAAAAGAAAGGGACTACATTGTTTGAATTCATGTCAATTTTATTTCTTTAAATCAACTTATTTTAATGAGAAGTTCCCATTAAGTCTGGTGATGCTGAGCTTCTGAAACAGGCTAATTTAATATTACCTCAGTATATGCCTCGGATTTCATGCTGAGAAGGAATATTGACTTTATTATATTTAAAGGCATTTTTACTTTTGCATTTTTAATCTCTTTTAATTTTCTGGAATATTTCATTGCAGGTTCTATCTTATTAGGATAGCTAGAAACAGTGCCTAAAAAGGTAAGCATAAGTCCTAATTTTTGTTATTATTCCTTATTTTCATGTACTGCTTAATCGTAGATTCATAGAATGGTTTGGGATAGAAGGGGCATAAAGCTCATCTAGTTACAACCGCCTGCCACAGGCAGGGACACCTCCCACTAGACCACGTTGCTCCAAGCCCCGGCCAACCTGGCCTCAAATACTGCCAGGGATGGGGCAGCCACAGCTTCTCTCGGCACCCTGTGCGAGCGCCTCAGCACCCTCCTAGTAAAGAACTTCTGAAATCTAATCTAAATCTACCCTCTTTCAGTTTAAAGCCATTTCCCCTTCTCCTAGCACTACATGCTCTTGTAAAGAGTCCCTCTCCAGCATTCTTTGTAAGTTCCCTTTTTGTACTGGAAGTCTGCTATAATGTGCACCCTCTTCACGAGCTTGAACAACCTCAGCTCTTACGAGCACCTCATAGGAGAGGTGTTTCAGCCATCTGATCATCTTCATGGCCCTTCTCTGGAGCTGAATATACTGCACTATTTACATTATACTTAACGGTAGCTTGTTCTCGATGCTGAAGTGTTATGTACAATTAAGTTTTGCTTTTTCCCATCTATGCACGCACTATATGTCATTATAACTACGGAAAATGTTTCTGCAGTTTAGATCATTCCAGACCAGGGGCTGGAAAAGATATTTCAGTACAGCAGATACACTTTTGTTTGTTTGCTTGCTAGCACAGTTATTCAGATAAAAACATAGGTGCTATAGTGCAGTGTATTTCTAATGAGAACAGTTGCATGTACAGACTTCTGAGTTTGAAGGCTTTTCTTCAGAGGCTCATGCCTGTCCAACAAAGTAGGCAATTTTTTGCCCATACAAATTGCCATTTGTCTAAATCCCAGTGAAATCAATGTATTCAAAGTTAACGTTACCCATTAATTTCAGTGGGATGCAAGTATGTCTTAAGTGCTTTGTTAAAGGGGAATCAATAGAAGCATATGCCAAAATGTCTTTCATTATTACAGTTGGGGAGCAGACTGCAATTATGATTCAAAACATAAAAGGTACAATAGACATCTATGATTAGGCAATGAAATATGCCTTTAATAAGCATAGTGCAGACAGTTTGTTTTGCAGTAAGTAAACTTGTATAAAATTCATTGACTTTTTCATTCTTTCAGATCTGTGTGCTCACTTTTAAGAG